CATTTGGACCCCCCTCCAGATAGGCCTCTGGATCCGCCACTGATCGCCATAGTACTGCTTAGGTCAAGCAGCATTGTCAATTGCTACAAAGCCTCAGTGAATTCTCCTCATGATGATACTCCCTAAGACGTGATTGTTCAACACATATGTTATATGGATTGTCAGTAAAAAGAGATGTCAATTCTTCAATTATGCTTCCCCCCAGAGAATTACTGGATTGGAGCACATGATTCAGTTCAGGAGGGTTCGTTTGTTTGGGCCACTTCGCGGGAACCTGTGCACATTGAACACTTCGGAAGAACGCCCGACAACTCCCACGGAAACGAGGGATGTATAGAGATCTACGCCAACGGGGACTGGAATGACAACAACTGTATGACCTCATTTAATTACATCTGTGAACGTTCGTAAGTAACAACCAGTATCATAGGTAGCCCAGTTTGTAATGATCACGCACGGGAAATCCAAGTCGCGCCTACAGTTGAGATGAAGTCGTTCGCGTTTTACGTTCTACAAGCTATATCCTTCGACCTTCATAGTTTGACCTCCTGCCAAATCGTGAGCACAGGGACCTGAATGTGTGTTACAGATATATTGTGACCTAAACTAAGGTGTTACGAGTAATTTTACCCTTTTTAGGAGTAAATAATTGTTTTTAAAAAGTAAATATTTTTATTTGGTAAAATGTGACTGCTACGTTTACGATGTAATTTTTATATACAATCACTCGGGTGGCATCGAAAATTGAGCTCAACCCCTAAAACGTATACGATTACTCTGAACACCTCGGAAGTTTGAGGGCCGGACAGGGCACGGGTAAACAAGAGGTTCAATGGGCCAGCATCGCTTATCACATCTTTGACCTTCAAAATTGGCAAACTCAATATTTTAAAAATGACATTGGTCATTGGCCAATGTCATTCATTTCGGAACAAACTTGATAGCCCTCGACCCTGTGTACTACTACCCAATATCATTACAGTATCGTAGTCCTCATGGTTATTTAAAAGAGGTCACCTAAAAATATAACAAAATTGAACCTTATCACCCTGAAAACAGGTCAAAGCCATGTACTTGAGCAATCTGGTAGCTCGTTTTATGCATACTACAGGTCAAAAAGCATAACCATAGGCTCATTGATTAGTTAAAGAACGTGTTTTGAATGTTTCAATACATTTGACAATTGACCTCAAAAGTGGCTCAAAGTCATTTATTTGAACAAACTTGACAGCCCTTCGTCCAAGAATGCTACAGGCCACATCTCACGACCATAGGCTTCTTGACATAATTATTAAGAATGATCTACATGTAGATGCGAATTATCAGTTATAGGACTAATGTTTTGTATAACTTTGATTATCTTATTTCAGACCAGAAAGCGAACAGCTGATTGGCTGATAAGAAAAGACAACAACGTATTGCATTGAATATGTGTTATCAAACAATAAAAGCAACAGAACGAAACACTACCGATCTTATTATCTATATTGTGTTACGTTCTGTACAATTCAACTTCAATTCAGTAAATGAAATAACAACATTATTTAAAAAGCAAGCGGGTGGTACCATTCCACAGTAGTACATGTATTTTAAGCATTGAACTGCTTCAGTTGGCATTCATAGGCAATATGAATGCCAACTGGACAAAGACAAAGGCAATGAAGCGCGTTAGCGCTTCATGTTGGATATGCCTTTGTCCAGTTGGAATTCATATTGTCTATGAATGACAACTGAAAGCAGTTCAATACTTATTTTTATCATTTTTTGAATCTGTTCATCTCACAAAAAATTGATAACACTTATTATTATTCAGCTTTTAGTTCAAATAATGTATGTATCAAGTATGCTTGTCCAATGAATAGAACAGCAATCGCCAAGGGAGGGTCAGTAGTATCCAACGAAACAATTATGACGTCAACAATCGGTCCATGACATTCATAGCCTATATGAATGCCAACTGAATTTAGTAGGGATATATACATATGGTGGCAATGCCATTCGATGGTAATTACAGGAGTCGTAGAAACACGTCTTGTAACGCAAGTGTCATCTAGGACTATTACATTCTAAAGAAGGCGTTCTCAAGGACCATAGCCCTTTAAAGTAGGTGTCTTGTAGGGTTATTAGGGCCCCGTATCGGAGATACTGGTGCCCTATAGTAATCACTCTGTCTGTCCGTCCACAAAGTTTGTTCCTGACTGATAACTTTAGTATTAATTGACCGATTTACATTAAACTTGACCAAGATGTTCAGTTCAAAAAAATACACACTGAGGTAAAATGTCAAGGTCATGAAGTTCAAAGGTCCAGGTCAAATTTTGCATCTTTTCACTGATGAGCATTTTTTTGTTATGACATGATGAAGCAAAGTTGATCAGAATTAAACAATGAGTCAACAGATCGAAGGTAAAGGTCATCGGTTCAAAGGTCTAGGTCAAAGGCAAAGGTCAAATTTTAAAGCTTTTCACTAATGAGCATTTGATGACATTATGAAGCAAAGTTGGTCATAATTAAACAAAGAGACGCATTGAGGTAAAAAGTCGAGGTCTAAGGTCAAGGTCAATTTTTGTAGCTTTTCACTGATGAGCAAATCATGACAATATGAAGCAAAGTTGGCCTGAATTAAACAAATAGTCAACTGACCAAAGGTCAAGATCCCTGGGTCAAAGGTCAAGGTCAAATATTGTATCTTTTTACTGATGAACATTTTTTTTATGTTATTATGAAGCAAAGTTGTTCAGAACTTAACACAGAGTCAACTGACCTAAGGTCCAGGTTACGGGTCCTAAGGTTCAAGGTCAAGGTCAAGTTTTGTATTTTTCACTGATGAACATTTTGTTATGATAGTATGAAGCAAAGTTGGTCGGAACTAAAGAATAAATCAACTGACCAAAAATCATGATCACTGGGTTTAAGGCCAGATCATTTGAGTCCAAAGGTCAAAGACAAAGTGGATCTCTGACTTTGACCCTGGCTCTTGATGGACATATCAAAGCTAACAAATGAGTATTGCACCAGTATTTTCATTTCTGTTAGCCCAGCAAATATGGAGGTGGAAAAAAACAAGACTCACATCATAGTACATGTAAAATGTATATTTTGCTTACTTGCGATTCTTTTTGAAATCCAAATGTCAGACGTCAAGCTCAGCTATATGACTGAGCAGATTGCTTCTTGATGATTATCGGGGATATATTGCCACAAGACGGGGCCCTTACTGACCTGTCAGTGTTCTAGTTGCCTTCTAAAATAAGCTTGTTATTGCCTTCTAAAATAAACTTCTAGAGCAGACGTATTATAGGGTCTAGCCGTCTAAAGTAAACGACGCCGCTAGGGTCATAACCTTCTAGTATAGGCGTTCTCCTCTAGGGTCTAGCCTTCTAGAGTAGGCGTCCTCCTCTAGGGTCTAGCGATCTTATGTAGGCGTCCTCCTATAGGGTCTAGCGATCTTATGTAGGCGTCCTCCTCTAGGGTCTAGCCTTCGAAAGTAGGCGTCCTCCTGTAGGATCTAGCCTTCTAATGTAGGCGTCCTCCTTTAGGGTCTAGCTTTCTAATGTAGGCATCCTCCTCTAGGGTCTAGCTTTCTAATGTAGGCGTCCTCCTGTAGGATCTAGCCTTCTTATGTAGGCGTTCTCCTCTAGGGTCTAGCTTTCTAATGTAGGCGTCCTCCGTTTGGGTCTAGCTTTCTAATGTAGGCGTCCTCCGCTTGGGTCATACATGTAACCTTCTGAAGTATGTGTCCTCCTGTAGGATCTAGCCTTCTAATGTAGGCGTCCTCCTCTAGGGTCTAGCTTTCTAATCTAGGCGTCCTCCTCTAGGGTCTAGCTTTTTAACGTAGGCGTCCTCCGTTTGGGTCCAGCTTTTTAATGTACATGTAGGCGTCCTCCGCTTGGGTCATACATGTAACCTTCTAATGTAGGCGTCCTCATCCAAGGTCTAGCGATCTTATGTAGGCGTCCTCCGCTTGGGTCATACATGTAACCTTCTGAAGTATGTGTCCTCCTGTAGGATCTAGCCTGCTAATGTAGGCGTCCTCCTCTAGGGTCTAGCTTTCTAATGAAGGCGTCCTCCTGTAGGATCTAGCTTTCTAATGTAGGTGTACTCTGCTTGGGTCATACATGTAACCTTCTGTAGTATGTGTCCTCCTGTAGGATCTAGCTTTCTAATGTAGGTGTACTCTGCTTGGGTCATACATGAACCTTCTGAAGTATGGGTCCTCCTGTAGGATCTAGCCTTCTAATGTAGGCGTCCTCCTCTAGGGGCTAGCTTTCTAATGTAGGCGTCCTCCTGTAGGATCTAGCCTTCTTATGTAGGCGTCCTCCGCTTGGGTCATACATGTAACCTTCTGAAGTATGAGTCCTCCTGTAGGATCTAGCCTTCTAATGTAGGCGTCCTCCTCTAGGGTCTAGCTTTCTAATGAAGGCGTCCTCCTGTAGGATCTAGCTTTCTAATGTAGGTGTTCTCTGCTTGGGTCATACATGTATCCTTCTGAAGTATGTGTCCTCCTGTAGGATCTAGCCTGCTAATGTAGGCGTCCTCCTCTAGGGTCTAGCTTTCTAATGTACGCGTCCTCCTGTAGGATCTAGCTTTCTAATGTAGGTGTTCTCTTCTTGGGTCATACATGTACCCTTCTGAAGTATGTGTCCTCCTGTAGGATCTAGCCTGCTAATGTAGGCGTCCTCCTCTAGGGTCTAGCTTTCTAATGAAGGCGTCCTCCTGTAGGATCTAGCTTTCTAATGTAGGTGTTCTCTGCTTGGGTCATACATGTAACCTTCTGAAGTATGAGTCCTCCTGTAGGATCTAGCCTTCTAATGTAGGCGTCCTCCTCTAGGGGCTAGCTTTCTAATGTAGGCGTCCTCCTGTAGGATCTAGCTTTCTAATGTAGGTGTACTCTGCTTGGGTCATACATGTAACCTTCTGAACTATGTGTCCTCCTGTAGGATCTAGCCTTCTAATTTAGGCGTCCTCCTCTAGGGTCTAGCTTTCTAATGTACGCGTCCTCCTGTAGGATCTAGCTTTCTAATGTAGGTGTACTCTGCTTGGGTCATACATGTAACCTTCTGTAGTATGTGTCCTCCTGTAGGATCTAGCTTTCTAATGTAGGTGTTCTCTGCTTGGGTCATACATGTATCCTTCTGAAGTATGTGTCCTCCTGTAGGATCTAGCCTGCTAATGTAGGCGTCCTCCTCTAGGGTCTAGCTTTCTAATGAAGGCGTCCTCCTGTAGGATCTAGCTTTCTAATGTAGGTGTTCTCTTCTTGGGTCATACATGTACCCTTCTGAAGTATGTGTCCTCCTGTAGGATCTAGCCTGCTAATGTAGGCGTCCTCCTCTAGGGTCTAGCTTTCTAATGTAGGCATCCTCCTCTAGGGTCTAGCTTTCTAATGTAGGCGTCCTCCTGTAGGATCTAGCCTTCTTATGTAGGCGTCCTCCTCTAGGGTCTAGCTTTCTAATGTAGGCGTCCTCCGTTTGGGTCATACTTATAACCTTCTAATATAGGCGATCTCCTGTAGGATCTAGCCTTCTTATGTAGGCGTCCTCCGCTTGGGTCATACATGTAACCTTTTTAAGTATGTGTCTTCCTAGTCATAGCCTTCTAGAGCAGACGTATCTAGGGCCATAATTTTCTAAATTAGGCAGCCTCCCTAGGGTCATATCCTTCTGAAGTACTGTGCTCTAGGGTCATAACCCTCTAAATCAGATGTTTTTCTAAGGACATAGCTTACTAATATAGGCATCCTTCTGTACTTCCTATGGTGTACATTTCTATTTTCTTCAGAAAGTTTACCCACTTCATCCTCACAAGTTAATTTTTAAAGGAAAACTTACACTCATGATATTTTTGAAACAAGTTTATTTCTCATTATTTGTAATGAGATTTTCACCCTCTTAGTAAAACCCTACAATCAATAACAATGTCTGATAATATGATTACTAATAAAGATTATTTTAATTAAGGTAGGAAAATACTAGTAGAACTATCAACAATACAGTTATATGATAATATAGTTTTGGAAATATAGTGATTTTGTTATATTTACGACATATTGCTCTGTAATTCAAATACAACTATTTCATAATAGCCTTGCCTTCTAGTTCAGCCAAAAATTGAAATGGACTTTAAAATGTTCTGTTATATACCCATTAACCCCGCCCAAAAGATACAAGTTGGTGTTCTGTTATATACCCATTAACCCTGCTCCAAAGATACAAGCTGGTGTTCTGTTATAAACCCATTAACCCCACCCCAAAAGTACAAGCTGGTGTTCTGTTATATACCCATTAACCCTGCTCCAAAGATACAAGCTGGTGTTCTGTTATAAACCCATTAACCCCACCCCAAAAGTACAAGCTGGTGTTCTGTTATATACCCATTAACCCTGCCCCAAAGATACAAGCCGGAGTTCTATTATATACCCATTAACCCCGCCCTAAAGATACAAGCCGGTGTTCTGTTATATACCC